GTTTTTTTTTTTTTTTTTTCCGACTAAGGGGACTCAAGTAAACCGCTTCATTATATTGCATTTAGCTCCGCCACTGCTCCTGAAAGTTCTTGTCTAATTTGGTTTTAGGTTGGAATTCCATACAAGAGGCTGTTGGATACTGTGACAGTGAAATATGGGCATTGCAGCAACCTTTCCTTTTTAAGCACTAGACCTCCACTTCAAGGCCAGTGCTTTGATCACCAACTCACTCTTCAGGTAATTAATTAGGCCACATTATGTTTTTTTGTTTTTAAATTTCTGATTTAATCAGTTTTTCGAAGGGGAGTCTTGAAATAACAGTAAAATTGTCTCCGTGTGACTTATAAGTCGCGGATTCAAGATAGTCGTTAATGCTTGCAGTAGGATAAGATGTCTACATTACACCCTTTAGGGTGCGTCCTTTCCCCGGACTCTACGTGAACACAAGATATATGCCTTGTGCACGTGACTGTCCTTTTTTGTTTAATTAGTTTCATAAACAATTGTTGTTTATTTGTTTTAATTTTAAGCAACAGGGTTTGTGTAGTGAGTTCAAGAAGGGCCAGTCTTCAACCTCTGCTTCATCAAGTTCTAGTGATCAATCCATTTCTCCAAAGGCACCCTTTGTTGTAAAACGTATAATTTTTTTTATATTCTTATGATTGTTTTGTGACGCAATAATTATAAGCTAATGGAATTACTTATATTATCTTCTTTTTCTTTTTACCCTTTTTGAAGCTTCTGAGAAGAAACACAGGCTTCCATCTGCCTACAATCGGTTCATGAAGTATTATCAGTTCTATTTTATTTTTTTCCAATAATTATTTGCCTATTTAGATATTTAAAGGGAGTCTTGGAGCAACTATAAAGTTCGTGTGACCTATAGGTCACGGGTTCGGGCCGTAAAATAGCCATCAGTGTTTGTATTAGGGTAGACTACTACATCAATACCCTTTAGGGTACGGCTTTTTAGTCTTTGAACCCTACGTGAATGCGAGATATTTTGTGCTCGGGCATCCGTATTCAGTTGTTTGGCGATTATTTTCATAGTCATCATATCATGTTGAATCTTATTAATTAGTATGTTTTTACTTTGAAAGGGAGGAGATACAACGCATCGAAGCTGAAAATCCAGAGATACCACATAGAGAAGCTTTCAGTGCTGCAGCTAAAAACGTGAGTTTCACTAATCCTCTTCTTAAGCTTGAAGCTCAAAATTAACAACAAAGCTTCTATATATTAGCGCTTAACTTTCAATAGTACGAAGATTGTTATGCTATTAGGCCACTGGCCACCTAAAAGGTAATTACATGTACTTGTTCATAATAAATATATAAAATTAATAATCTATAAAATAAGGTACTAGCTCCTATTTAATTAGAGGACGGGCTAGAATTTGATGCCTATGAGTCACGACCCAAAACCTAATCCGTCGTGGTGGCACCTATCGTGATACTAGGCAAGCCGACATTTTCAAAACACTTTCAACATTTAACAGAAATGAATTAAGACATTTAAAATAACCGAATTTTTTCATAAAAACGGGGTGAAACCCAAAACATAAGTGCGAAAAATAGCCCGATATCGGGGTGTCACTGAATCATGAGAATCTAGATATCCAGTCTAATATAAACAATGCTTGAGTATCAATACTGAAAAGAAAGAAAACATAGAAGGAGAGACAAGGTCTGCGGACGCCAACAGCTACCTCGTAGTCTCCGGTACTCGATCGCGCACGAACTCAACAACCTCCGTGATCAAACACACCTAGATCTGCACATGAAGTGCAGGGTGTAGCATGAGTACAACCAACTCAGCAAGTAACGGAAATAAATAAAGAACTGAGAAGGTAGTGACGAGCTATACAAATACAGTTTATTTTCAATAATTCCAACAAAGAATAGACATGCTTTCAAATCTGGTAGTTCAAGTCAAATCAGTTTATACAGTTATAGTGCAAGTAATCCGGATATAAAATCTTTCAGAAATTTCACAACAATGACCGATAGTAATTAAGTGCATCAACAAATGGAAAATATGTACAGCCTCTCAGGGCAACATACACTCAACTCGTCACAACAGCTCAATCACTCAGCTCTCAGCCCTCAGTACTCATACTCAATAGGTACATGCACTCACTGAGGGTATGCATACTCCGGAGGGGCTCCTTTCAGCCCAAGCGCTATATCCGCAAGCACAACTCACGTGTTACACGGAAAACTCACGTGCTATAGTATCAATATGTGGAACCGCACGGACAACTCACGTGCCATAGTATCAATACCTCACAGACAGGCCCTCGGCCTCACTCAGTCATTAACCTCTCTAGTCTCTCGGGCTCTCGGAAATCATAAAGATCGGCCCAAATAAAGATAACCTAGTGTATCAACAAAAATCAAGAAGAGGCTGAGATATGATACGCAAGTAAAACCATTAATGAGTACAAGACAACAATTAGCAAGTAATTCAACAAGTACGCGACCTCTGCGGGTCCCAACAGTACCATCACATAGCCTAAGCATAATTTCTAATATGATCATTTGCAGTTAAATTTCTATAACACATGGAGAGCATATAGTTAGCAACAAGTTATTCAACTTTACAGTTTCACGGAATGGACCAAGTCCCAATTCCTACGGTGCACGCCCACACGCCTGTTACCTATCATGTGCGTCACCTCCAAAAATACTCGCATAATCCAATAATCCAGGGTTTCATACTCTCAGGACCAGATTTAAAACTGCTACTTACCTCAAACCGCACAAAATTTTACTCTGCAATGCCTTTATCCCTCGAATCAATCTCCAAATGCCCCGAATCTAGCCACAAGTAGAACAATACAATCCATATAGGCTAAAGGGATCAATTGCACCAGAAAAGTACTAAATTACAGCCAAATATCCGAAATTGGCCTGAACCCGGCCTCCAGGCCCACGTCTCGAAATCCGACAAAAGTCACAAAATCCGAAAACTCATTCACTCACGAGTCCAACCACACCAATTTATCCAAATCCGATGTCAGAATCCCAATCAAAACCCAAAATTTTGGTTGAAGAATTTCTTCCCAATTTTTTAAACCCAAATCCAAAATTTAATGATGAAACTAATGATAGATTAATGAGATATAACCAAAATCAAGTGTAGAATTATTACCCAATCGATATCTCTGAAAATCCCTCGAAATCTCGTCCAAATCCGAGCTCCCAAACTCAAGTTTTGATAAAAATGGCTAAACCCTCATTTTTGAATCTTTATATCTACCCAGTTGATTCCTTCTTCGCGAACGCGGTCAAAGCCTCGCGTTCGCGTTGAACAAAAAACTGTTGACCAGAATTCCTCTTTCGCGAACGCGGGTGACCTCTCGCGAACGCGTACCTTTCACTGTCGGACCCTACGCGAATGCGTGACCCTCTTCGTGAACGCGTAGGCTTAAATGCCTGATGCTCTATCTGCCCGTTCCTCTCCGCGAACGCGTAGCCTCAGGGTTCCACATCTTCGTGAACACGGGAACCACATCGCGAACGCGAAGAGTAACTCAGCTGGCCTTCCCAGATGTCTTACGCGAACACGATAAAGAAAATGTGTGCAACAAAATACTAGAAAATCTACTATCTTCCAAAGTCCAAAAATGATCCGTTAAGTATCCGAAACTCACTCGAGGCCCCCGGGACCTCAACCAAACATACCAACCAATCCTAAAATACCATACGAACTTAGTCGAGCCTGCGAATTACTCAAAACAATATCAAAATACCAATTACACCCGGATTCAAGCCTAAAGAACTTCTAAACTTTCAAATTCTACAAACGACGCCGAAACCTACCAAACCACATCTAATTGACCTCAAATTTTGTACACATATCATATTTAACATTACTGACCTATTCCAACTTCCGAAATCGGAATCCGACCCCGATATCAAAAAGTCAGCCCCCCGGTCAAACTTCCCAAAATTTAACTTTCGTCATTTCAAACCTAAATTAGCTACAAACCTCAAATTCGCACTACGGACGCGCTCCAAGTCCAAAATAACCCAACGGAGCTAACGGAACCGACGGAACTCCATTCCGGAGTCGTCTTCACACACTTCCGACTACGATCAAAAATCCTGAGACTTAAGCTTCCGTTTTAGTGACTAAGTATCCCTAAAAACTCTGAAATCAAAAACAAGACCTCCCGACAAGTCACGTAAGCAGAAATAGATACGGGAAAAATCATAAATAGGGAATCGGGGCTAGTACACTCAAAATGACCGGCCGGGTCGTTACATCCTCCCCATCTTAAAACAATCATTCGTCCTCGAACGAGCATAGAGACATACCTGAAGTAGTGAAAAGATGAGGATAACGGCTGCGCATATCGCTCTCGGTCTCCCAAGTCGCCTCCTCGACCAACTGACCCCTCGACTGAACCTTCACAGAAGCAATATTCTTCGACCTCAGCTTTCGAACCTGCCTATTTCAGATCGCCACCGGCTCCTCAACATAAGATAAATCCTTGTCCAACTGGACTGAGCTGAAATCCAACACGTGAGACGGATCGCCATGATATTTCTGGAGCATAGAAACATGGAATATTGGATGAACTCCTGCTAGAATGGGAGGCAAGGCAAGCTCATAGGCAACCTCCCCAACATGTCGCAATAACTCAAATGGACCGATAAACCTCGGGTTCAGCTTGCCCTTCTTCCCGAACCTCATAACACCCTTCATGGGTGATACCCGGAGCAAGACCCGCTCTCCAACCATGAATGCAACATTGCAAACCTTCCGATCCGTACAACTTTTCTGTGTGGACTGGGCCATGCGTAGTCTATCCTGAATTACTCTAACCTTCTCCAGAGCATCCTGAACCAAGTCTGTACCCAATAATCTAGCCTCGCCCTGCTCAAACCAACCCACTAGAGACCTACACCGCCTACCATATAGAGCCCTATACGGTGCCATCTGGATGCTCGACTGATAACTGTTGTTGTAGGCAAACTCCGCTAGTTACAAGAACTGATCCCATAAACCCCCAAAATCAATGACACAAGTGCGCAACATGTCCTCCAATATCTGGATAGTGCGCTCGGACTGTCCGTCCATCTGAGGGTGAAATGTTGTGCTCAACTCCACTCGAGTACCCAACTCATGCTGCACGGCCCTCCAGAACCGTGATGTAAACTGCGTACCCCTGTCAGAAATGATAGATACCGGTACGCCATGAAGCCTGGCGATTTTGCGGATATACACTCGAGCCAGCTGCTCGGAAGAATAGGTAGTCATCACAGGAATGAAATGAGCTGACTCAGCCGGTCAACAATCACCCAAACTGCATCAAACTTTCGCTGAGTCCGTGGAAGCCCAACAACGAAATCCATAGTGATCCGCTCCTATTTCCACTCCGGAATCTCTAACTTCTGAAGCAACGCACCTGGTCGCTGATGCTCATACTTCACCTGCTGGCAATTTAGGCACCGAGCCACATACTCCACTATGTCCTTCTTCATTCTCCTCCACCAGTAATGTTGTCTCAAGTCTTGATACATCTTCGCGACACCCGAATGAATAGAATACTGCGAACTGTGAGCCTCCTGGAGAATCAACTCACGCAAACCATCTACATTGGGCACACATAGTCTGCCCTGCATCCTCAATGCACCATCATACCCAATAGTGACCTCCTTAGCATCACCGTGTTGGACCGTGTCCTTAAGGACAAGCAGATGGGGGTCCTCATACTGACGATCCCTGATACAATCATAAAGAGAAGACTTAGAGACCACACAAGCCAATACTCGACTCGGCTCAGAAATATCCAATCTAACAAACTAGCTGGCTAAGGCCTGAACATCCAATTCTAATGGCCTCTCTGCTGCTAGAAGATATGCTAAGCTCCCCAAACTCTCCGCCCGGCGACTCAAGGCATCGGCCACCATACTGGCCTTCACGGGATGGTACAAAATTATGATATCATAGTCCTTAAGAAGCTCCAACCACCTCTACTGATGCAAGTTAAGATCTTTCTGCTTGAACAGATGCTGCAAACTCCGATGATTAGTGTAAATCTCACAATGGACCACGTATAAATAGTGCCGCCAAATCTTCAAGGCGTGAACAATAGCTGCTAACCCAAGGTCATGGACATGATAGTTCTTCTCATGGGTCTTCAACTAGCGCGAAGCATAAGCAAT